AATAGAAGAATATTGATGATTGATAGGATTTAGAACAAGCTTATGAAATAAGTGACAATTACACATTTCCATCATCAAAGCAATTTGAAAGCAAGAATGAAATATACAATTCTTTCTAGAATTAAAAGTTAAAGGAAATCGAAAGTATTGAAAGTCCAGAATTACCAAATGAGGAAATAAAATCTTTTAAGAAATTTAAGAAGATAACTAGAAAAGAATATGATTAAATGTAGTAAAGGAAATTAGGCTCAAATTATTCTTAAAATAATGAACTGCTCGCACTTAATGATTAATAGAAAAAATAGTTTAACAAGACAAAATTCAACTAATTTTCAGGAAAACAAGCTAGAATCGAATAAAATTATCAGAGTAAAACAAAAAATAGTTTCTCAATGTCAAATATCACACCTATAATTAATCATAAGAAATCATCAACTAAAAAGATTGAAAAATAAATCTTCAAGTTTATCAAACACATTTTCAAAGAGCACGTTTAAAAGGTGGACTAATTAGACAGAAAAAGCTTGGATATCAAGATGTTGATTATTTACTACACACTGATGATTTTGGAATTACCTCATTTGAGCTACTTTATGATAATGGAAATAAAATAGAATTTGAAGCAAGACTTCTTTTAGAGCAATAAGATTAAGATCAATTTACTTTATTTGCTTGACCAGATATCAGAAAAGGATCTTTAGGATAGCAAGGACTAACAGGCTCATTTAATCTAGATGGTGAAAATTAATGAATTAAATCAAAAGCTCTAAAATAAGATTGAAATTACTACAAATGCAATTTAGTAATTTTGGTAGAATTTGTATCAAGAAAAAAGTTAAATAAATATTTACCTTGAAGGTTCTAAAATTTCACAGCATATAGAAGGAATAAAAGTAACCTATGATGATATAAAGGAGGCTTCTAAAGACGTCTAGGAAATAAAGTTTTACATTTACATGGCTTCTTTTTTCAAATATGTAAGTACACTATTAGAGATTATTTTTATAGGTTTTATTTAAGTAGAAGGAAGCATATGATGAGATCTAAAATTATAAGAATAGTTAAACAATAAAGAGACTTAGCAATAAACAATATGAAAATGAAGATGTAGAGCTAGAAAAGGGGTTTCTTATAACTAATTTTGAGTTTGGCAAAGATATGCATATAATTTCAATAAACAGAATCGCTTCTAAGATTACTTAGTATGATATGAAGCAAGCCTAAAATTTACAAATCAACAAACTAATGCCTTAACTTATATCTGATAATCATTAGAAAATTATTAAAGATTTCTTGATAAGAGGAAAGTCTAGAATTATCAACAGAAGAAGATAAAGTTTTGTGAAACTAAGATCAGGATACATCACTCCAGTTTACCTCTACCTAATAGTTAGCTACCAAAATACAAGTAAGATGATTATGATGATTGAGGAAAACAAAGATTATGATCCATTTCAATCAGATA